TTATATCTTAAGAAATGCAGCCCAGATGGAGAGACCCCAGAAGGAGTCTGAGTTATGAAAGAGTTGCACTTGATGGAACGGCATGCAAAAACAAAGGCGTGTTCAGAAGGTGGAGTGTTCAGAAGATGGTTAGGATTTTACATATGTGAAACCCAAGGCATTACCCAGCATAGCTGAGATTACTTTGAAGGCCAACAAGTCAAGGAAGGCTGCACGTGGATGTGCAAAGGCAACACTTCCCAGTCCTTCCTGTTTCTAATCCTGCTGCTGCAATCTATCCTAGCAGAAAGCATGAGTCACCTTCTGACCACGCAGCTCCTTTTCATAGATGCCTATAATGGTCTCCAAATGTCAAGTGCATCTAATTAAGGCCTCTATGATGTGCTTCTGAAGTCTCAATTGTTAAGATTCTTCAAAGAAATTTCTTCCAAACTCCCACTATACACCTCAGCACTTTGCTGCTTCCTGGAAACACAGAATTACAGCAGCGTGGTGACTATGGGAATTCTCCCAGTCCTGCCCAATTTCTTACTTTCTTTCCTCTATCCATCTGCCCTAGTCCCTGTGCATTGCCCTCCAAAGTGTGGTGTAACAGGAGTGAAGGTCACTGAGCTTGGGATTAAATGAACTATTTTCAGTTCAAATCCTTGGTCACTGTGTGACCTCTAGCACCTCATTTCTCTGATTCAGGCTTCTGTTCCATAAAATAGGCATAATTATAACTTCCCTGAGTAAATCGTTAAGCTTTTGTGATATCATTTAAAATGAACATAAATGACAGACGTTACATTGAAATCTATAAAAGACTAAACAAATACAAGATGTACTAAGATGCTAATAGACAATAAAAAACTGGTTTGATACAGCCTAGTAATATAACTTAATCGTTTAACAGAAACTTTCAAAATATTAACTGAAAACAGTGACTTCTTCTGGGAGTTTCAAGGACTTTGCAAATTAGTAAAAGATTACAGTCAGGCCGGGCACTGTCAAGAGCTGCCTTCTGCATTTTATCTACATTGTGGTGACAGATTTAGGGGAAAAGAATGATTTGAACACTTATAAGTGGAGTTTAGCATAGTGCTCCGACTTTTGCTGGGTTGATCAATGGAGTGATAAATTACTGAATACATAGAAGAATGGACCCGACTGTTGGATTATCTCTGCAAATAGGATGGACAGTGGTGTGGAAAACTAAAAGCAGAAGGAAGCCTGAATTTAGACTAGAAACAATGGTTAGGTAGCATATTTTATTTGTTTCCCCAAATTTTATCAGGTTTGAGGTGGTGGTGTGTGTTCCGGTCGGGTGTGAAGGGCCATCAGACTGGTTGCCAGACGTGAACGGGAAAGAGTTCAGCCAGGATTTAGATACAGCTGCCAGGTGGCCTCGGCCCTTTATCTCCCTGCTGGCTTCCTGGAGAAGCTTTAGCGCTGCTGGGTGATGGCGTGGGTTTTGTAGATGCAAGGCCCTAATAGCATCTTCTGAACATTGTTAGCACTGGCACCTAGTACAGGACTCTGGGCCAGTCCCTGAGATAAAGGAAGAAATGAGACACGTCTCTAACCTCTGGTGAACGAGGTCATGACAATACCATGCGGAGAAGGCAGCAGTGACAGACTTCATGGGGGCTAACATGAAAATACCACTCGTAGTTCGTGCAGAGGGACTAGACAGTGGTGCCTGGTGTTGGTGCGCTTCCTGTCTGGCATTCTGACACCACAGCTCTTGAATTTAGTGGAACTAGGTAATAAAGGTGTGGTTCAAATTTGTTAAATGTGAAATTCAAATGCCACTCAAAGTTTTCGTTTCTCATCCTGCAAGCTAACGTTAACGAATTATTGGGTTCGTGGGAAGAAGTCACACCACCACTGGCCCATCCCACGTGCACCGGCCTGAGTGGAGGACGATGTGACAGCCCTCGGTCCGCAGCTTCCTCATCACATCTGTGCGTTGTAAGTAATAACTCCGTAAGCTACAGAGTTACGCCAAAGCATCGGGAAACTGCCTCACCTGTTGTTTCCACTCACTTGGGACAAGGGACAGCCCGTGGTGAGAAAGCAGAGGAAGACAGCAGGCAGTTCTTATACTCACATCCAAGCTAGCTGGTCAGACTGGATATTCCAAACAGTGACCGTGACAGTGACAGTCATATTTTTGTAGCTCATAAGAATAGGTAATTTCCCACATAGTTTTATCTGTTCATATTTTAGAAATTATATTTATCAATAATGAATCTTTGGACAAGTATATATAGCATATGATATTTGCAAAGCTAGACCACTTCCCCTCCCCCACAAAAAACTGTTGCCTAGAAATACACTAATAAAGTTATAGCAAACAAAAAAGTTCCTGTTATGATTTTTACTCACACGGACATTCATACACATACCACGTACATACGTACAAAGAGAGAAGCACGCTCCTCCTGATGAAAATAATTGGAATGATTTAAAAGTGATTGAGGTATCACATTGGCTTTAAAATTTGCCACAGAAAGTTGCCAAGCATATTTCCTTAATCATCAATAAATAATCATAGGTCCAACTGTGTGGGTGTATTTTTCTTAAAGGACTTAAAGACAGATGGCCACGGGCTCTAATATTTTCAACTCAGAAATTTAAGTTGACAACACCTAGCCCATGGTTAAATAGTTTTGAATAGAAAAGAGTTCTGAAGCAAGGAAGAAGGGCTTAGAAGAGGGAAGACAGTTAGTATTTCTTACGTTTGATGGTCTCCAAGTGGTCTCTGTCCAATGGACTTCAGCAAGGGCTCCGGGCGGATTGCTACCTTTGGTGATGTTTTGGGACTAGAGTCTGACTCTCCACTCTCCTCATCTCCCATGGCTTTAATATAACTCCCACTTCTCATTCTCCTGCAGGGGATTTCCTCATCTTTGCCACCAGTGGGGTACCCTCCCCATTCATCCTGAGGCACCTAGGAGAGAACAGACACACGGCATGCATCAATCTTGTCATTTAGAATTGCATTACTGGCTCTTTCGGGGGAACAAATTCTCTACAATTCCTTGTAGACATAGCTCTTTATGGTCATTTATCATTTAAAGTTAGGTGCAAAAAGATAGATGCTTCTTAGCATTCTGTCGTTGAAATTCTAAAAGGACCTTAATATAAAATTATTGTTTTTTCCCATTATAAAAGTGATAGATAAACACTACGGAAAAAATGAGAAAATGTTAGGAAAGTAGGAGAAAAAATTTGTCATCTCAGCAGCTAGAAGAAAAATCACTGCTAACATTTAGATTTCCTCCTGGTATAAAAGAAAATTGAAACTCGAGAAAACTGAAAATAGAAGAAGAAAAGGAAAAGAAAAAGGAGGAAAAGACAAAAACAAGGAAGAAAAGGCCTACATTATTGTAAATTTATCCCTTAATTGCAAGCTAATAAAGGAGTGGAGACTTAACTCCAGAAGTCAAATTAGATATATAAAATCCTTGCCCTCATAGAAGAAAAATATTGCACCCAGGCACACTGCATGCTGTTGGTACAGAACCGATCACTGTACACCTTATATATTATCAGCAAAGGCCCTATGAAGAATGCCCATTCAATGCTTTTCTGTTAAGTTTCTAGTTTGAGGGCAGGCGGAGCCATCAAGAAGATAAAGCAGATCATTATTCTGATATTCACCCCCTACCCAGGAAACTTGAGACCCTTCTCTACAACAAGTAAAGAATCATGGAACTTAGTGAACACAAAGTTTCCAAAAGTGCAAGTCCACTGTGTGCAGCTCGGGGCAAGGGTGTCCTTTCCTGCTGGTCCATTAGCTTTGAACAGCCACCCGGAAGCTCTGGATAAAGTTGAGTTCATAGGTCAAATGCACATTTACAAAAGCAAAAAAAACACAGCAATTAACAGCTGAGTGTAGAGAACTCCAAAATGTTCCACAATACCTATACCATCCCACACATCCCACACGGTTCCGTAGTCAAAGTACCTAACACAGTACCTTCTTCATGCTAGGGAAGGGAATCTTCCAGAATGTTGTCTACAGAGAAAGAAAATGACAAAATGCCGTATTTAAAAAGTCTTCATGGCCCTTTACCAATTACACTTAGGTAAAGATATTTAATTCTGTACCACACAGAAATGTACAATCAACTATGTTACAGTAAAAAATAAATTAAAAAAAATAAATAAAGCAATGCCCAGCAAATAGTAAGTACACAATAAAAATATGTAAATGAATATAAAAAAGTCTTCAAAGTTGGTGTTTTTACCATTGTAAAATATTTAGATACTTAGGTATATTCTTTACATCATCCTATAGAGGATCCTGCTATTTTTCCAGTCCCGATATTGCCCGTGAGTCAACTGGTCTAGTGCTTCCAATAGGGGTCTGCATGGCTGCTCGGGAAGTTGGGCTTTCAGCTGAAAGCACCTTGCATTCATTTAAATAACATGTTGTGACATTGCTTTGGTAGATCCAACATCTTCTATGCCACAGCCCAGGACAGGAGCTTGGAGAGGGGAGCATTGCTTATTTGCACTACTTACACATCCTGCACTTCTAGCCTCGTCAGGCAGGAATGCCACTCACACTTACCTTGTGTGGCAAGGCATAACATCTAGACAACATAGAGTCCCTCAAGGCCCCTGTGGGAAATGACTGAGATGCACTGTATCTGTAGCCTGTGTTTTTTCAAAACAGCACTCTCCTGAGTTGGCTTAGAGTACACTGAAAGCTCACAGTAACATAACAGCAATGCACGGCATCAGAAGAGGGTTTATCAGAACAGTAAGTTCCAAGTTCTTATTCCTGCTCTGACTCCAAGAGGCCATGCAACTTAGAAGAAGTCACAAAGCTTGGTATCCTAACAGCAACCATGAGATTACACAGAAGGTGTCTATGGTCCCTTTTCAGCTGGGGTTTTTCTAAAATCTTTAAGAATCTGGTGCTGTATGCCAGTCTCTGCACGGGTTTAAAGAGAAATACAGACCATGTTGAAAGGGCATTGGGAAATATCAATAACCCAGACAAGGCAAAAGTTGGACGGATTACATTGCAGAGCAGGGGAAGTTGCAGGTGGAATAAAATAAAGCCCTGGGGACATAAAGGGACCTCTTTCAGCAAGAAATCTGCAACTGAGAAAATAGGCATAAACTTGCCATGTAAATTTTGGCTTCACAGAAGACATTGTTTCCTGACACTGAGGATTTTTGAGCACTGGGGAATAAAAGGATGAATGAAGAATGAAATTCGCTGCGCATCTGACAATTCTTATCTATGTGTCTTCTTACCGCAAGGTAGTTTTCAACAATTACACAAAAAAATGCCAGGATGGAGAAGGACGCAGGGAAAACAGCATTTTTATACAGTTTTACACCAAGTATTGGGAAGATAGAGAGAGCCCAATCTTTATGGCAACTCTCAGAAGACCAGACTGCTCATGCCCTTTGACCCAGAAACTTAACTTCTACCAAGGTGTCCCAAGACAGGCTCAGTGCCAGAGACTGGTGAATTATTCATTAAGGTGAAAGGAGGAAACAATGATAATGTCTTATCTTAAGGGATGGCTTAAAATACCATACAGTGGACACCATTCAGCCATCAAAAATAATATTGCAGAAGAATATGTATTTAGCTGTGGAAAAATATTCATGAGGGGGGAAAAGCAATTTTGAAAGCACAGTACACATTCAATGTTTTAAAAAATACTTCTTAAACTACATAATGACGTTATTATGCACAGAAACATGGCTGGAAGGATGTGGAACCGGCATCATCACTGGGAGATGGGGGTTATGGGCTTTTCAATTATTTTATTTATACTTATGTTTTCCAAATTTTCTACATGGACCATATGTTGCTTTTGTAGTTAAAAAACCTTAGTCATAATTTAAGAAAAGTCATAGTCCTCCATGGCATTATGTTTCAGCAGAGGAGACAGACATAAGATGAAACAAACTACAGTGTAAATAAGCAAGTAAAGAGGGGCGTATGGTGTCCGTGGAAGCTCTGGGCACAGAGGAGGGAACTGGTGATCTGGGAAGGCTTCCTGGAGGTGAGATTTGGTGGTGGTGGGGGGCCTATATAACTTGAACTTGACCAGCAGAAAGGCACAGGCACAAAATACAGGACAAAGGCACAGGCCGCCCACCTCCCTGGCGTGGGAAAGCTCACGCACTCAGCTCTCCTGGCCAGCGTTCAAGGAGGCAGTTCCAGGAAGGGAGGCCGAGGCTGGCCGGGAGCAGATGGAGAAGCGGCCCATCTGCCATCCAAGGAAAGATTCACTTTGGCAGGTTTATGGATTTTTTTGTGAATTAAAAACATGTTTCCATAAAAAACATAGTAAAGGATTTTTTTTTTCAGCAGCCTGCAAGTTAACTAACAAATGAGACCAGCTTGTAAGTTTCTGTTTCTGATTTAAGAAGCCAATTTTGCAGTCTTTGTCAGAAGAAATTTCAATACAGAAAGAGTGTAAACCAGAATCCATTTCAGAATATGAATTCTAGTACTAAATACCAATTCCAGAGCATATGTCTCCAGACTATCAAAAGAACAGAACAGCGATGCTAAAATGCCACTATGCCTCAGTAAATAAATCTTTCTCTGTTATGTTACAGTGTTAAAAACCTGCAGCCAAATGCATAGGAGTGGCCAAGTGTAAGTCTGAACCATTAAGTGGCTTTACAGCCTCCACTGAATGAATGAATGAATTTCTCTTCATAATAGCTACCAGCCTCTGCCAATCCAATTTGCAGTCTTTGCTACATTTAATGGCAGTCAATTACCCTAATTACCTACTTACATATAGTGCTGAGTGATATTCATCATTTCTAAAAACAGGCATTTCCCTAAAGTTGACATTATTGTAAATTTTGATATTTTCTGTTTCTTGCCCTAAGGATAGTTCAACACTGCATATTAAAAATCCTTCTTTTAAGCAGCAAGGCACAGGTGAAAAGGGCTAGGATTGTATAATAATGTTCTTTTTCAGGTGTTGAAACCAAGGAAAAATGATACCATCCAAAGCCGTGCTTCCCTGTAGGGAAATGTGTTCTTCATTCCTTCGACAAGTGTGTGTGTGTGTGTGTGTGTGTGTGTGTGTGTGTGTGTGTTTTAAATGCCTACCAAGTACCATAGCCACTGGCGTTATAATTGAGAGCAAGACACCTGGGCTCCTGTATTCCATATTTCTACAGTAAATGACAATGGGTCTCAGTGGGGTGCCTCTGGAGCCACTATCGGTGCAGTTTCAATTGTTTCAATACTCAGGGGAGTGTTACCAGTGTCTAGAAGTTGGGGAAACCACGAAGCGACCCCTCGCAGGGAAGAACTGGCTCACGTCCTGTCTGATTCTGCAAGTCAGTTTTTCTGTCTACTCTTACGTGAGCCTAACTCTGCTTCGTATGTAAGCCAGAGTTTTGTTGTTGTTATTGTTCTGCACAGTTTTAATGAAAAATATCTTTTTCAGAAATGTAACTACTATGTAAATCAAGGAAAGAGAACTTTGTTCTGTTTAGCACTTTACCAGGAATTGTTTATCATTTCCAAACATTCCATCAGTGCCAGCAAGCTCTCTGGTAGTATTTGAGTCATCACTGCAGTACCCTTCGTGGTCTGCTTTGTAGCTCTCCAGTTACGGTGATTTTTTTTTTTTTTCCTTTTTGTCTTTTTTCGTGACTGGCAATGGATCGCAACCCTCAGTGTCGCACCCGTACCGGACCGGGACCGGCAACGGGATCGCAACCCTCGGTGTCGCAACCGCACCTCGCTCAGCCAGTGAGCGGCCGGTCTGTATGTGGGATCCGAACCCTCGGCAGGAGCACCGCTGCGCTCCCAAGCGGCGCTGCGCCACCGGGCCGGCCCGTTACAGTGATTTTTAACCCAGAAACAAGTGTCTGAATACTTCATTCCGTACATATTTGTCATTGCGCCCTGACATGTTTGTACTAAAATGTTTTTAGTTAAAA